ATTTTAGCCATTGTGACTGGTGTGAGGTGGTATCTCATTGAGGTTTTGATTTGGATTTCCCTGATGCCGAGCGAGGTTGAGCACTTTTTCATGTGTCTTTTGGCCATTTGGATGTCTTCTTTGGAAAAATGTCTGTTCATGTCTTCTGCCCATTTCTTGATTGGATTATTTTTTGAGTGTGCACATGTGTTGCGGGGGAGGGAGAGGGAGAGAGAGAATCCCAAGCAGGCTCTGTGCTCAGCACAGAGCCAGAGGCAGGGCCAATCCCATGACCTTGAGATCATGAACTGAGCTGAAATCAAGAGTGGGAAGCTTAACCGACGGAGCCACCTAGGTGGCCTAGTAATCCATTCCTTTTTATAGCCATATAATATTCCATTGTATGGACATAGCACATTTTGTTTACCCATTCAGAGACTGATGGGATATATGGGTTGTATCTACTTTTTGGCTATTGTGAATAGTGCTGCTAAGAACAATCATGTACCAGTCTTACTGTGGGCATACATTTTCATTTGGGGGTCGATAAGTAGGTGTAAAATTTCTGGATTGTATGACATGTTTACATTTAACTTTTTAAGAAACTGCAAAATTATTTTCCAAAGTGGCTGTACATTTCTATTAGTATTTCTACTTTACATTTCTGTTTTCTATTTCTACATTTTCTATTAGCAGTGTGTTTCTCTACATCCTTGTTAGCACTTAGAATTGTCTCTAATTTTGATTACAGACATTCTAGTGGGGTGTGTAGTGGTATTTCATTGTGGTTTTAATTTGCATTTCCCTAGTGACTGATGATGTTGATCTTTTTCTTTTTTAAAGATTTTATTTATTTATTAGAGAGAGAGAGCATGAGCGGGGGGCGGGGCAGAGGGAGAAGCAGACTCCCTGCTGAGCAGGGAGCCCTATGCGGGACTCAATCCCAGGACCCCAAGATCATGACCTGAGCTGAAGGCAGACACTTAACCAACTGAGCCACCCAGGCGCCCTATGTTGATCTTTTTACATGCTTAGTAACCCTTTGCATATCTTCTTTAACAAAATAGCTATTCAGTTCTTTTGTCCATTTTTAAATTGGATTGTTTTGTCTTCTTTTTGAGTTATAAGAGTTTTTCATATATACTCTAGATACAGTCCTATATCAGATACATGGTTTTCACATACTTTCAACTCTATAAAGTCAAGTTTCAGAAAAAGGACAAGTCTGCGGCTTGTCTTTTCATTCTCTTCATGGTGTCTTTTCAAGCATAAAAGTTTTAAACTTTGGTGATGTCCAACTTAACAAAATTTTAAATGGATTGTGCTTTTGGTGGTGTAACTAAGAACTTTTTGTCTTTTGTTTAGAATGTTTGGTTTGCTCATATTTAATATAATTATTGATATGGTTTAAGTCTGCCATTTTGCTACTTATTTTTTATGTGCTTCATGTTTTTTATTCCCCTACCTTTTGGGTGTGTGTGTATATAATAGTAATAATAATTATTATTATTTATTATATATATAATTTTTGTAGTTATTTTCTTAATTCAGCTCTAGGCATTAAAAATGCATCTAATTTAACATAATCTACATAATTTACAGTTATCACCTTTTATAATAATCTTACGCATTTCAGAGAAATTAAGAGAAGAATGGAGAAAAATATACATATGTAGTCTTTTATATTTACCCACATACTTACCAGTTTTGGTGGTCCTCATTTGTTCCTGTGGATTTGAGTTAATGTCTGGTGTCATTTTTTTCAGCTTGACAGACTCATTTAGTATTTCCTATAAGGCGTGTTTGCTAGCAACAGATACTCTCTGAGTACTTGTTAATCTGTGAATATCTGTATCAATTTCATTTCTGAAGGATAGTTTCGTGAGAATAGAATTCTTCCTTAGTAGCCTTTTCACCTTTATTTCAGCAGCTTGAATAAATCATTCCATACTCCATTGTCTCTGATGAGAAGTTAGCACTAATCATATTGTTTCCTCCTGTGCATGTTGAATCATTTTCCTTTTGCTGCTTTCAAGATGTTCTCTTTTGTCTTTTTTTCTGATAGTCAACAGTTTGGCTATGATGTGTCTCTCTGGGGCTCTCTTTATGTTTTTCTTTCTTTTTTTTTTTTTTTAAGATTTTATTTGAGAGAGAGAAAACACAGGGGGGAGGGGCAAAAAGCGAGGGAGAAGCAGACTCCCCACTAGGCAGGAAGCCTGATGTGGGGCTCCATTCCAGGACGCCTGGATCATGACCCGAGCTGAAGGCAGACGCTCAACCAACTGAGCCACCCAGGCACCCCTGGAGTATTTTTTTAAAGATTTAAAAAAAAATTTTTTTTAAGATTTTATTTGAGAGAGAGAGTGCACTGCGCACAAGCACAAGTGGTGAGAGAGGCAGAGGGAGAGGGAGAAGCAGACTCCCCACTGAGCAGGGAGCCCAATGTGGGACTTGATCCCAAGACACTGGGTTCATGACCTGAGCTGGAGGCAGACGCTTAACCAACTGAGCCACCCAGGCACCCTCTTTATGTTTTATGTTTTCTTGCAGTTTGTTGAGCTTCTTGGATTTATAGACTAATGTTTTTCAACAAATTTCAGACTTTTTAGTTATTATTTCTTCAGACATTTTTTTTCTGCTCTTTTCTCTGTCTTCTCTTTCATGCGTTCCCATTATGCATAAATTGATTTATCTGATGGTGTCCCACAGGTTTCTGGGGCTCTTTGCTTTACTTCGATCTTTCTTTCACCTGGTTTTTCAGTTTAGGTAATTTCTGTTGATTTATCTTCAACTTCATTGTTTCTGTTGCAAGCCCAAATATGCTGTTGTATCTTCCTAGTAATTTTGTCATTTCAGTTAATTTACTTTTTAATTCCAGAGTTTCCTTTTATTTCTTTTTAGTAATTTTTATTCTTTTTTTTTTTTTAAAGATTTTTATTTATTTATTTGAGAGAGAGAGAGAACATGAGGAGGGGGTAGGCAGAGGGAGAGGGAGAAGCAGGCTCCCCACTGAGCAGAGAGCCCGATGTGGGGCTCGATCCCAGGACCCTGGGATCATGACCTGAGCCGAAGGCAGACACTTAACGACTGAGCCACCCAGGCGCCCCTAGTAATTTTTATTCTTTATTGAGATTTTTCTATTTCTTAAGTTACCATACTTTAAGTTTTTACATGTTGTTTCCTTTAGTTCTTTAAATATATTCATAATATCAGCTTTGAACTCTTTCTTTCCCCCTGTAAATCAACATCTGGGCCACCCAGCAACAGTTTCTATTGTCTGCATTTTTTCCTCAGTGTGGGTCACTCTTTTCCTGTTTCTTTGGAAACTGGATATTTTAGTATGTTTTAGCCCCTCTGAGAGCTGATGATGTTTCCTGCCTAGATATTGTTGTTGCCAGTTTTAGTAACTTTTCTAGACTAAATATGTGGAAAAAGTTTTCTCTGTGAAGGTGATGTTTCCACTTCATTTGTTATTGTATTCTTGTGTTTATTTTTAATCCTGGCTTCCTGATTTCAGCCTTGTGTCTGCAGGGCTTAGTGATCTGCAACAATTGGCAATAGGTTGTGTTCAAAGACTTTGAACCAGTAAGGCTCCCTGCCTCTGCCAGTGGATAAATGGGTGGGTTGGGAGCTCATTCAAAGTTCAGATAGTTTCCAAGTCTTGTCTGGCTTTTTACTTTCCACTGACCCTCTAATTTTTCCTCTGTACCTGGTTATAGTCCCTGTGTCAGGCAGGGTTATGTGCATAGCTTGGGCCCCAGCCATCTCCCCTGCTTTTGCAAACAGCCTTCCAGTCAGCCAGGGCTGTGTGGAGAGTTTATCAAGCCCCTCCCTGGCTCTCTCACTTTCAGGTTTTCCCCTGCTGCATTTCTGGATGGTCTACCAGTCTTTTTTTTTCTTCTTCTTGTTCTTCTTCTTTTGGTCCCAACCAAGAAAGACTGCAACCTCAGATAGCAGTCACTGGTGGCCTTCCCTGTTCGCTTACCACCTAGATCACATTTATTGACAGTTCCACCCAGCATTGGTTTTTCACCTTCCACTCAAATCAGGTGACTGTCCCTGTAGCAGCAACAGAACTGATGGTTTTATGACCTGACCTAGTATAACTACCATAACACCCAAGCTGGGAGATTTGGAAGGGTGAGAGCAACTCCAGGCAATCATGCTCCAGATTCCCACTTTCCTTATCCAGAGTTCAGTGTTTTTCATGAATAAATACTTCTCAATGTATTGTATGTGTTGATTGATTTCTGGAAGTAAACTATTTACTCTGTCAAGTATTGTGAAAGTAAGTTTTTGGTATGAGTTTTCTACATTTTTTTTTTTAAGATTTAATTATTTATTTGACAGAGACACAACGAGAGAGGGAACACAAGCAGGGGGAGTGGGAGATGGAGAAGCAGGCTCCCCGTGGAGC